GTCCACATCCCTTCACATTGCCTTTTGCCAGAATTAGATCTCACATGTGCTTCAGAGCTCTTCTAGGGGAGGCTTAGCTGGAACACAGTAACGTGTGCCTGGAGTTAAACCCACAACAGGAAACAGATAACCTCTCAGGACTGGAGGGAAGAGGGGCACTCTCTGCCTGGCCCATAATGGGTGCTCAAGCAATATGTGTGGAATGAATGGAAGCTCAGGACAGAAACTCCCCTGATACAAAGGGACACTTTGGGTCCCTTCCCACCCCCATCCCAGCATGTTTCCCTGAGCGTCACACTCTGATTCCAGCAGCCACCAGTACAGCTGGCCTGGGCGTACGCTTTTCCCCTGTTCTCTGAGCGTGGGCAGAATCAGAATCCCTTCCACCGGCTCCCACAGCACAGCTGAAACTAGCTGGGACTTTTAAAGGAACTACACAGTGAGCCTGCGTGGGTTTAAAACCTCGGCTCTGTCGTTTACGGGCCAAGTGGCTAAGGCAAGTTTCTTAACCCTTCTGAGACTCCGTTTCTTCATCTGTAACATGGGGCAAACAACCCCACCTGACTGCAAGGACTAACAGTACAATTAGTCATTCGGCTGCCTCTCACTCACGGTCCATACTGCGCCGGGCATGTAAATTAAGGAAAAGTGGTCCACAGTGGGCCCTCTTCTTTGGTTTCTGAAAGTGAACCTCCAGCTACATGGAGGCTACTCATTTCAGGTGTGTGACCGGTTCATTCACTTCCAGGCCTTATTCTGCTCACAGCTGACAGAAATCTCTCAGAGAATCTCCCCTGTAAGCTCTTAGGTTCTTTCCTCTCCCATTCCCTTTTTGGCTCTTTCCCTCCAAAAGCGAGTTTCTACTTCGCAGGCCCTCTGGAGAAAGCAAGGACTTGTGATTGTGGCTGAGGTCTCATTCCTGAGGGGGCAGTGACGTTTCTGTTCTTTTACAGAGCCAACAACATAGAAGAAACTGGCTTACTAACCCAACCCTCTGCCCTGCCCCCCCCCATAGGATAGTTAGAGTGGAAATTCTTCACATGGGCATTTATACTTTATAAATTAAAAGAGAATCATGTCAGCCTCAAGTATTTTAGCACCGTATTTTAATAGGGTCTCTGACAAAATATGTGTCCAAAATGTTGTCCATGACAGCGTGCACTCTCTAAATGTTAGTGAAGTTTACTGGGACTGTCACGGCTGGGCCAGGATTCTGAGGAGGGGTGTTATCACTGTCCCCAGATCCTTGAAGGGCTTCGGCAAAGTGTGTTAGGCTTATTCTGGGCAGTTTCAGAGAACAACACCCGTATCAACGAGAGGAAGTTAACAGGAGGCAGTTTCTCGTTCGGGGGAAGAGAGTTTCTGAATAGAGAAGTCAAAATCGATGTTGACTTCCTTGCATGCCCAGCGCTCCTTCCCAGGGTGTGAATTACAGGGCTGGATCAATTATCCAAAGTTTCCCAGGGCCAGTAATTTCTTGTAATTATTTGAATTCAAGGTGATTTGTTAAGTTTGTAGCAAAATGTAATTTGATTTTGTGCCCCTATTTAACACATCATACCTGGTGGAGAATCTTTGATTAGGTCAAACACACTGATTATTGGTTTGAAAACAATGGGAGATTCCTATATTAGGTGGGAGTTCAGATTCAAAGGGTTCCCAGTCCTCAGATTCTATGACAAATAGCATTCTGGTGGTGATTTAATATGAGGAAGTGCACAAGAATCAAATAGAGAACTCTGTTTCTAGGTCCTGTCCTTGAGTGATGTGAGCTTTGGCCCAGCAGATAATGCCCACGCTCTGAAAGCTATTGAAATCGTTAGAAGGGCAGGCGAGAGCAATCAGGAGCAGTGTGAGTTCATATGTCCAACGCCCACTGTGTGCTTTAGTGATTGAATATATTTGCAACGCATTGTCACAATGCACTAATTTTCTAATTAGTTGCTAATTAGCATTAATTTTTAAATGTAAGAGAGCTCCTACAAATCAATAAAAAATAAGAAAAAGGTGAAAGGCCCAAATTAAAAGCAGGCAGGAACAGCAAATATAACCTCTTATACATTTGAAAAGATGCTGATACTCATAATAAAGAATATTCATTTAAAAATCACAGTGAGAACTACCTGACATCTATTGGGACAATTAGAAAAACAAACAGAAAATAAGTGTTGGCAAGGATATGGTGAAATTGGAACTCTTGTGCACTGTTAATGGGAATGTAGAATGGCGCAGCTGCTATGGTAAACAGTATGGCGGTTCCTAAAAAAGAAAAAAATTAAAATAGAATTACCATATGATTCAATAATTCCACTTCCAAGTATATGCCCAAAAGAAATGAGATATTTGTACACCCATGTTCATAACAGAATTATTCACAATTGCCAAAAGATGGAAGCAACTCAAATGTCCATCAACAGATGAATGGATAAACAAAGTGTGATATATATATGTATAAAATATTATATATATTATATACAATATAATATTATTAGAATATTATTCAGTCTTTAAAAGGAAGGAAATTCGAACACATGCTACAACATGGATGAACTTTGAATACATTATGCTAAGGGAAATAAACCAGACACAAAAAGACAGATTTTGAATGATTCCACTTCACGTGAGGTACCTAGAGTAGTCAAATTCATGGAGATGGAAGGTAGAATAGTGGTTTCCAGTGGCTGGGGTAGAGGAGCGGGGAGTTATTGTTTAATGGGTATAGTTTCAGTTTGGCAACATAAAAAGTGTCTTGTTGAAGATGAACGGTAGAGATTATGGTTGCACAACACTGCGAATGTATTTAATACCACTCTACACTTAAAAAATTAGTAAGATGATAAATTTTATGTTATGTGTATTATACAGCAATGAAAAATACTTTTTTTGTTTTGTTAATCCTCACTGGAGGATATTTTTTCCATTTTTTTTTTTTTTTTTTTTTTAGAGAAGAGTGGAAGGGGAGAGAGGGAGAGAGAAGCTGTCTGGACCAGAGCTTTTGTTTGCTGGGAGTTTTTTTATTACTCCTTCGATTTCATCTGTTGTTACTGGCCTATTCAGGTTTTCTGATTCTTCCTGATTCAGTTTTACATGATCTCCCTCATACGTGGAATCTAATAAACAAAATAGACTGAGGAACAAAATAGATCCAGAGACACAGAAGCATGGAACAGACTGAGGAACCTCAGTGGGAAGGTGGGGGTGGGGGAGTGGGTGGGGAGAGATTAGTCAAAGAACTTTTATGCATATGTGCATAACCCGTGGACACAGACAATAGTGTGGGGAAGGCCTAGGGGGGGAGGGGAGATGTAGGGAGAGATCAATGGGGGAAAAACAGGGGGGTATCTGTAATACTTTCAACAATAAAGGCAAATTTAAAATAATAATAATAAAATAAAAAGAGAGAGAGATTATAGTCTAGAAGGGAAAAAACATAACACACTTTTAGCCCAAAGCCCTGTGCAGAGTGCCTTGGGAACAGAGGAAGGATATCCTGCATAGCCCAAAGAAACTTGAGAATGGCTTCGTAGACAATCCACCCCCAAGGAAGATCTTTCTGCTATTGGATCAGAAATACTTGTTCATTTTTTCCTAATCATTGGTTTGTTTGTTTTTTGTTTGGGGGGGGGGAGTGTTGTTGTTGTTTTAATATTTTTTTTTATTGATTTCAGAGAGAGGAAGGGAGAGAGAGAAACATCAATGATGAGAGAGTCATTGATCGGCTGTCTCCTGCACACCCCCGAATGGGGATCGAGCCCGCAACCCGGGCATGTGCCCTGACTGGGAATCGAACCTTGATCTCCTGGATGCTAGGTTGATGCTCAACCCCTTGAGCCACGCCAGCCGGGCAGCATTGGTTTGTTTTTATCTTCTAGACAGATCTATAAATTAATCCACCAATTAGGCTTTCCTTTCACTTTGGCTGTTAAAAACTGTGAGCCAAACTCCTGACCTGCACCATGCAGGGTGGGCAGATTTCTATGGGAAGCATTTAGCACTGGCCTTGTACTTGGCTCTGTTTATCCTCCTGCACTTAGTTTGCTTTTCACTTATTTCTAATGTTGCTCATCTTTCCTTGTTCTATGCTTTCCTGCGAGCCACTCTACAGCCTTTTTGGTCTAAGCTGGGATTAGTGGGTGAGTGCAGAAAGAAGGAGGGAGAGAGAGGAAGAAAGGGAGACAGAGGTTATAAAGCAATACCCGTCGTTTTCCTTGGCTCTATCATATAGATTAAGTGAATTCTGTAGTGTCTTTGTTCTCAAAGTGGGGTCCTCACGTCGTCATCACCTGTGAGTTTGTTAAACATGGGTTTCACCCAACCTGCTAAATCAGAATCTCTGTGGACTAGGCCCAGGAAACTGCTTTCATATATTCTCCCAGATGATTTTTATGCACATTAAAGTTTGAGAACCACAGGGGAACCAAAGGAACGTTGATTTCTAAATGTAAATACTTTCTATTTGTCTCATCATTACCCATTGTGTTGGCCAAGGTAAGTAATGCTACTACTGCGATAAACAAGGCCAAAACTCTCATTAGCTTAACACAATAAAAATTTATTTTTTGCTCATGTTACAGCCCAGTATGGATCACTGTGGAGTGGAGAGAGTTGTCCTGTTAATTTGTTCAGCAAACCAGCTTCCTTCCACAGTGAGGCTTTGCCATCCTCTATGCCCTTGGATGCCTCCTCTGGCTCCCCTGCGTTCAAGAAGGCAAGGGAGGGAGGAAAGAGAAAAGAGTTTTAGTGGCAGGTCTGAAAGTAACACCCAACTTTTCTGCACACAATTCCATTGGCCAGAACCCAATGACATGGCCCTAACTAGAGGGGAGGCTGGGAAATAAGGTGTATCTGTGGGGTTAGGATGGAAAGGAAATGGCTTTGGTGACCACATGGCACTATCTCTGCCCCACCCGTGGACCTAAGTAAATCTCAACTTCACTTGTCAAGTTTTGGTTTTGTTTCATTTTTCTCATCATGTTTTATCTTTTCTTTTCTAACTCTAGCACTATGGGATTGAGTACCACTCTCTTTGTGATGGCCTTCCTGCACTCTGGTAAGAACCTTTGGCTTTATAAAGTCCTAGAATCCTTCCACTGTCTTCTGATGAGTCTGCCTACTGCAAGCCCGGGGCTGAGACTTAGTGGCTTTTACTCACTTTCTATGCAGCATGCACAATACCACATGCAGAAACAGATTCTTGTGGAGAAGAAGGAAACACCGTGATTGAGAACAGGCATCTCAGGTGATGAACAGGCATCTCAGGCAGGCCCGACCTGGGATGGAACCCTGTCCCCTCTGTGCACTTACTATGACGCTAATGAAGCTGAGCTGCAGGGTTTCTCACTTGCACAAGCCCAATCCAAGATCCCAGGAGGGGCCCTATGGTCACGTGTCTTATGCTTTGGTAAAATTTTCAAAAGTAAGATACCTTAACCACAATAAGTTAAGACCACTGCCTCTTTTTATTGCGATTTTTCTCTCCATCACATTCTCTTCCAGTTGAGTGATATTATAGTAGCCGTGGGCATTTTGTATTTGAATTCCACATTTCTTTTCTTAAAGAGCTCCCCACCCCCAAAAGAAAATTTAAAAGTGTCAGGCCTCACAGAGCTTGGATCTTCCCTGTTTGCTGCTCCTCTCTGAGTTTCAGTTTCATCACCTGTTAAGGGGCTGGTCGAGGTTCCTGCCACCCTGTGACTGGGTGCCTTTAGTTTCTCCTGTCCTGCCCCTTCCTGCCCTCAGCACAGAGAGGGAAGCCATCTCGCACACCCATCCTGGTGCGGGGCAGACGGAGCGTGAGCTGAGCCTGCACGTGGGCCACAGCAGCACGCAGGCCGCTCCTGACTTACCGGCCCGGCCATGAGTTCAGCTCTGGCTGTGGGTAGTTCTAGATCTCTTCAGCCACACCTGTGCAGACCCTCTTTGGGTGTTTTCCACAGATGATTCAGATGGTTACTGACAGCAGCCAGTGGGGAGGTCAGTCACTGACACAGAGGACAGGGAAGTTGGAAGGAGAGGAGCAGAGTATCTATGGCTATTTAAATAGCAGCTTCCAGCCCAGCTGGGCGTGGCTCAGCGGTTGAGCATCAACCTAGGATCCAGGCGATCAGGGTTCAATTCCCGGTCAGGGCACATGCCTGGGTTGCGAGCTGCAGCTGATCAATGACTCTCTCATCATTGATGTTTCTATCTCTCTCTTTTCCTCTCTCTGAAATCTAATAAAGATAAATAAATAATAAATAAATAAATAAATAACTTCCAGCAGGGAGTTGGATATGGATATGAGAGTTATTGGCTGGAGGTAAACATCTGTAAATTATTAGTTTATATATTTGGCAGTTGGATCCATGCTTATCTGTACTCATGAATTTTCCTTCTTTCACTAAAGGAGAAAAAACTGAGTATGGAGAGTAAGGAGAAGATCAAGAGCAGGCACTCGAGATAATCATTATTTAAGGAGGGATAAGAGGAAACTGACCAGGAGGTCAGAGAGTGGGAAAGAACTGGGTTTCAAGGCAAGACAGCCAACAGTGTGACAGGCAACAGAGTGGTCAAATAAAATGGTGGGAAGTCACGGACAGTCTCTGCCAGGGAAGTTTCAGCAGAGAGGTGGGGGTCAGAGGCTGGGACTGAAGGCAGCAATTGCTGCTTACTCTTTCTGAGAGTTTGACTAAAAGCAGTAGCAGAGGGAACTGCTGTGAAGAAGGGAGAGGGTGGTAAGCAGGGTGAGCGGTTCAGAGGCCAAATTAAGTGGGACAAAATTTGTAGTGTCACCAGTTCGAATAATTGAATAATTTCCTTCAGGAGTGATCAGACATGCAGTTGTAAGAACAGAATATATAGATCAAAAGTAGAGTGTCCTTGTCTTAGCCTGTTTGGCTCAGTGGTTACAGTGTCAGCCCTAGGACTGAAAGATCCCGGGTTCAATTCTGGCCAAGGGCACATACCTCGGTTGTAGGCTCAGTCCCTGACCCTGGTTGGGGCTTGTGCAGGAGGCAACCAATTGATGTGTCTCTCTCACATTGATGTGTGTGTGTTTTTTTCTCTCTCTCTCCCTTCCACTCTTTCTAAAAAGCAATGGAAAAAAATACCCTCAGGTAAAGATAAAAAAAAAAAAAAGGAGTGTTCTTGGGATGAATTCTGCACAAAAGGGCAAGCTTATTGGAATTGCTGGCAAAAGAATGAATGAAAAGATATACAATCACTCTGTTGTCCAATATGGTAGCCACTAGCCATATGTGTCTATTTAAATCAGTTAAAACTAAATAAAATTAAAAATTCAGTTCTCAGTTACACTAGCTACATATCAAGTACTCAGTGGCTCAATGGTAGCAGCTGGTGACTACCATATTGGTCAGCACAGATATAGAACATTTCCATTGTTGCAGGGCTCTTTTGGAAAGCACTACACTGTAGAGTCTAGACTGGATAGAACTGAGGTCTTGATGAAATAAAAAACAGATATATGTGAAGTAATTGAGCAAATCTTGGAGGAAGGTATGTTGTGGACAGGTACACTAAGATTTAAGATTTTTGGAGCAGAGCTGTTCTTGGAGATAAGATTCAAGATTATGTCATGGGAGAGGGGCTGCTAAAATAGTTTGTGGATAACATCTTCAAAGTGGAAAAGATCAAAGAACTTTCAGCAAGTTTGTTGGTGAACTCATCCTTGCTGAAGTCACCCAAATTGATAGTAATAATAGGTTAAAAGAAAGACCTTGCATCTAATGCCAAAATGCTCAGGGAGCAAGGAAGTAATGATGTCACTGTTAGTAGCTGAGCGCCATGAGAGACAGAGACACCTCAAAGGGGAAGGGTGTTGCTCAAGGCCTCTGTGAAGTATGACAAAACAAGCAGTGGCTGGGACAAGTGGTGTCCTTTGGGTAGGGCCAGATTTCAATGAAAGCACAACCTTGGGGGGGAGGGGGAATTTAATGAAGAGGTAGATTATGTAGTTTATTGTAATAGAATGTAGTTTCCAGAGGGCCTAGTGTATCCTTGTGAGTATGTGAAACATAAGAGTTTATTCTTGTATTATTATTTATTAATATTGTATTATTTTCCATACAAACAACAGTAAACCTACTTTTGTCCCACCCTGTATAGCCTTGAAGGAAGTTTAGTAAAAGAAGGAAAATGCATGAGTACAGATGAGCATAGTAACATGAGTGAGAGAGGACCCTTGACTATATAAGACATGCGTTTGGGGTAGTAGCCAGGGAAGAATGAAATCCCACATGGGGACAGAGACCTCACAAGGTGAGAAAACTATAGTTTTGTGTGACAGTCAAACAATATATTGTTGAGGAAGTTCTAAAGTATCCTTTGAAACAAACTCCTTCAGCTGTTTAGGGAGTATCTAGATGGGGCCTTGAGTGCCTAGCTCCTGGCATCATCATAGCCGCCAGTTATAACTAGACCCAGACCATATCTATTACCCAAGTGCTGAGGAAGGAGAGAATCTCAGTGCTTAGCCACCAATGGAGTCCCAGTGACTGTAGTAGCTGGGTGGCCTAGGGTCTGGGGTCGTAACAAAGGAGGCATGAAGCCACTTAGGGAAAATAGACTTTTAGCTAAATATTTCCTGTTTTGTCAGGGAGGAGCTTAGCATCCATAGCTCTGAGTGATGTCATGGAAGCCAGTGGTTGATGAGGAACTATGGAATGCAAGTTGTGAAATACTTTCAGTTCCATTCAAATGGGCTTCAGAGTAATTTCTACCCCAGGGCAGGCGAGAGGGTTTGGATGGAAACGAATGTTCCTGTCATAATCTCCTCTGTTTCGTTTGGAGATA